TGTACAGGATATTTGTTTATTCTCCCTTATTTAATTACTTACTGAATCATTTATTTATATCAGTATGGATTTATGGATATTTATCTTATACTTTGAGCTATAATCTAGCACCACATTATTTATTTTGATGTTCAAATTGCATTCCCAGGTATTTTAATCATATGAAGGAACTTTGTGTCATGTCTCAAATTATGAACAAAAACACACATGGGGTCATTATGAGTCAGAATTGACTCCACAACTAATAACAACAACAACACCCTCATAAACAAATGTTTATTGAGCACTTTCTAGTTTTGACATGATACCAATCATTCAGTCAATCAATAAACATTTATTAAGTGTTTTATGTATCTTGGCTGCCAACCAAAAGTTCAGCAGCTAGAATTCACCAACCATTCCTTGGAAACCTTATGGGGCAGTTTTACTCTGTCCTATATGGTCTCTGCGAGTAGGAATTGACTCAACAGCAATGGGTTTTGGAATGGGATGTATCTAGCATTGGACCTGTAGGCATTGTTCTAGAGGTCTAATTATTAGGAAATCTTTAAACATTGAGGTAACCATAAATGACTACCTTTCCTAGAGACACAGAATCAAAGTTACAGTGGTCATGCCTGTGTACCCCTTCTCATGATATTGTACATGGTCCTGACTGACTACAGCCTACATAAAGACTGTAAGCCCAGGTAAGGGAAAAATGTCAACAAATCTAAGCGGGGTTTCAGTTTTTATGTGAAATTTAGGCTAGAACCAGACCCCTCCCTTCTCATAGGCAGGTATAGAAATTTCATTGAAAGTTCTTGGAAAATGTGATTAGTCCAAATTTCAATCAACCAACTTAACATATTTTGTCCCCTAAGGGACATGTAAACAACATCAACTATGAGTTTTATAATGCATATAATGAGAAAGCTGTTATTATGTAGTAGAAAGGTAGGTAAAAAAATAATCATGCAAAAGTTAATACATAAAAAATACAATAAATAACGATTGTTGCCTTGAAGAGTTAAGATTCAGCTACCCATTCCCTGGCCCCAGCAAAATCTTAACATTTTCCAGGACTCTCCAGTTTTTGTATAATGCACACCTATGTTATATTTTTTTAAATAATAGCTTTAATTTTCAAAAATGGTAGCTGTTGAACAAGGCTCTGAGAAATTTCTGGACTTCTCTCCAAAAAGGCAGACAACAAATCATATTGCTTTCTCCCTAGTTTTGACTTTTTAGTGGAGGAGTTAAAAAGGTGAGTGTTGTAATACTGAAGACCCAGAGTGAGTCTGTCATGACTGTCTTAGAAAAAAAGTATTGATTGTTATAAGAATCCTAGTGCTGAAAAATCAATGCAATTCAGTAAAAAAGGGATATATACCTATACAAATTTGTCTAAAATTAAAAAAAAATCATTTTCTTATTTATTTGTGTATTTATTTATTTACTGACAATCACCACGGTCTTAAAACTTAAGTTTGCAGAGCTTGCATTCATTGCATGGTATGTAGGATAGAAGGAAATCTAAGAAAAAAGTATTTTAAATAAGCGGAAGGTGTATAAACGTGAATAAAGCTCATTGGAATTATTTATAAACATCTGAAAATCAATTGGTAGGCCCACAATTTATGTTAATTAATTTGTTCTGTCACAATTTTCATATGTGCATGAACTTTGAAAAAAAAATGTAGATATATATATATATGGAGCCCCAGCGGAGCAGTGGTTAAGAGCTTGGCTGCTAACCAAACGGTCAGCAGTTAGAATCCACCAGCCACTCCTTGGAAACTCTACGGGGCAGTTCTAATCCGTCCTGTAGGGTCACCATGAGTCGGAAATGACTTGAAGGCAACGGGTTTGGTTTTTGTTTATATATGTGTCTATGTGTGTGTTTGTGTGTGTGTGTGTATCTATCTCAAATCACTAAATAGAAAAAAAAGCAATGTTTAAATGAAGTTTGAAATGCTTGTTTATTTTTGTAAAACTGAGAGGCCAAAAAAGCATGCATCCTTATATCATTCTCACAGCTCATAACTTTCTACAATATTTGTAAGAAAACAATATAAAAAAGAAACATCAAAAGAAAAAAAAAAAGATTATAGCAGAAAAAGTAAGATTTCATTGCCCCTTTATCGGAAGAACTCACATAACCATGTAAAACTAACTCAGCAGATTTAATTCTCTGACTTGTCCCTTCACATGATTCCTGACTGGTTGATCTGATTAACTACTCTGCCACTGTACAGTAAAATTACTAGGATTTAATCAAAATGAGCAATTTATTGCCTGCCTGAGGAACAAGTGAGGCTTGGATAAAATTCAAGTTCTTAAATAACTGATAAACTTAAAAATGTCAATATAACTTTTTTATCTTCTGTGTTAATATTGATCTTTTAAAGTATTTTAACATTTGGGCCAAAGAACTTACAATACTTCCAATAAAACACAGTTTTTAAAACAGTCAGTGGTGAGCGTCTTTGTGTTCTATAAACTTTTTAATTTAAAGACAGAGGACAGCTTCAGTCTTCCATTTAGGCAAAGATAAATTCTAAATTCAGCTATTTTGCAGAAAGTGAAACAAAATCAGGAAGAAAATCATAGGTATAGATGATATTCTAAAAAACAATGAAAATAATATTTTCAATTTTCTTTTCTACCAATCTAGGAAAAAAGTGAGGCATGCTGAAAAGAATATTTATTCTCAGAAATGTTAAGACAAGGAAGCCCTTCAGATCTGGGTTTGTAATTTCAGTGTCGACCCTTTCATTTCCTGCTCATAGTGCGCATCAAAACTTTCATTCAGAGCTACTGTAAAGTGATTCTTCCAGTCTCCTACTATCCCTGTAACAAAGGAGAAATAACAATAAATATTAATTATGTCTTTGAGCCAGAATAATGAGATTTTCTAATATAAATCACCTTTATTAACACCTAATCAAATTTTATTCTTGCAACCTCAATGATTCTTTGTTTTACTTATATCATAAGTAATATACATATTTGAACTTGCAAAGATAGATTTGTCCTGATGGGCTAAAAAAACACAGCAAATTTAATTCTCTGACTTGCCCCTCTTATGATCTTTCACTTAATTTTTCTTTTCCAATTTTCCCTCAAATTTTGGGGTTCTCAATATGTGATCCATGTTTCACCCACTCTTAAGGTGTCAATACCAGGGTCAGGCTGGTAACTCTCAAATCCAGCTTTATGCCTCCATATTCAAGTACCTACATGACATTACCACCTGAATGGTACAGAAGCATTCCATATTCAACTACTTTCAAAATAAATGTATTTTCTTCCTACCAAATTGTGTTTTCTTTGTGTTGTTTTCCATAACTTGATTAATGGCAACACTGACTATCCAAAGCATAAAGTTTTACCCTCAGTTCCAACATATAACTCTTTATTTATATCCATGTGTTCTTCATATCCATTACCTCCTCTCCATTGCAGCTTCCACTGCCAGTTAGTGAAGCTCGTCAACATTTCGCACCTGAGTTATTACAATAATCTAGCAGGCCCTTCCGTTTCCTTTTCAACATACCCAAAACTCCCCTGGAAGAAGGAAGCCACTCACTTTTTTTAACTAGTCAGTGGTTTACCTGTAACCTATTTCAGGGAATCATAAACTTTCCTACTGAAACAACGCGGAAAGCAGGAGATAGAAAATGTAAACCCTGAGGGTCCGGTAGAGTATGAGGGAATAGCAGTAAACAGCCCTCTGCAAGCATGATAATTATTTTAACCCAGTGTTTTATCTTAAAAGTATGTATATGGGTATGTTGGTATAGGAGTCTGAGATAATGTTAGGAATGAATAATTAAAACATAGATAAATTGAGAATTAACTCTTTTTTTAGAGGTCCCATTTTCACCCAGTGGTAGATTTGTTATCACTATTATTTTAAAAATTCCCTGACATTCTTACTGACAATTTATTTGAAGCAATATGTTCTCTATTCTGTTTCTGCTTTCTTAATTATCAGTAAAACAGGATGTACTAATACTCTCCATATCCTACATGCCTTTGGATTTTATAAACTATTTCTCATCAGAACATGCCTCCTCCCAAATAGAATTTCACCTCACTGTACTTTGATATTTTTGCTAAGCAGACATCTATTTTAATTCCTTCTTTGCCACTTTGTCTTGAAAAGTTTCTGCCTCTTAGCCAAGGAAAAATTAACTACTTGTTCTAGATTTGTTTCTTCATTTTACCATGAGATACTAATAGAAGCTGTCTCCTGGGTTTCTGGTTAGAATTTAGAGACTATATATGTATATATAGCTTGCAAATTATGACTTGCCTTTCAAGCTTCAGGATAAGTTTAACTTTATTGCCCTTATAAATTCCCATATTAATCTACTGTACCATAGGTGTAGTCTTATAATTTTTTAATTTACTTACCTATCTGCTTCACAACACTGTGTCTTTGCATATAGTGTTAATATGTCTTTCTCTCTTTTTTCTTAATACATTGTAGAAACAACAACCACCATGATTAATTCGTTCTTAGGTTCCTTATTAATTTAAATATTGAAGAAACCTAAATGTAGTTCTTATTGACCAAATAGGCATTAAGAGAAAAAGATTGGACATAGATATATATACATACATATATGTACATGTATACATACCTATACATATATATACACACACACACTCCTATATATATATATATAACTGATACAGAACCAAAACACATAATTAGACTTAGTAAATGTTAGCAGAGCATAGCATTAGTGCTGGTGTGATTGCCAGTCATTCTTAACATAACATGCTGAATATACTAAAAAATCAATAATTATTAACAATTTAGTAGTAGTAGTATTTTATGCTTCTACAGAACTGGTTACTCCATAAAGAGAATGACCAAATATAAAATAGCACTGAAAAAAAAGATAAACTGGATCCTCATCCATGAATAGACCTCATCAGGTTTCTGTTTATAACCATTTCAATGTGTGACTCTCAATAGCAATAGACAAACCACATGACTTTCTCACCCTTTCTCATGAAGGCGGACACTTTGTGATCCATAAATTCTTTTGGTAATGTTGTGTAATTGGTAGCTGGATTTTTCTTCATCTCTTGGAATGAAGTATGATTCACAATCGTATTCACAAGCTCCTCTGATGGCTTCTTTCCCAGGAAATGAATCAATTTTATCACTTCTTTTCTGATATCCTAGCGAGGAAAAAAAATTAAAAAAACTTTGATGGCTAAATGGCTAACCTTAAATTGCTAACTAAAATTTAATTTGCTAAATGCAGATTGAATTACAATTGGATTAGAGAGAAAGACAAAATCTTTCCTTTACTTTTCTCTTTCTTTCTTTTTTTTAATTAATGTAGGAATTAGACTTCCCATGAGGAAAAACAGTAGAGAATGGTCTTGGGGAAATGGTAATTTTTTATCCTCTCTAAGCATAATTTTCATCACTCATAAAAAGGATGTAAAAGATATTTCAAAGATTGCTAGAAGAACTAAACTATTTACAGTACCAATTGTCACTTTTATTCTAATGTGCAGTTCCTTTTACTTAGAATGTTTTCCCAACTTCTCTGTCCTGCAAATTGCAGCTTGCTTTTCAAAGTTCATCTTAAGTTTAACTTTATTGCCTTCATAAATTCCCATATTAATCTACAGTACCGTAAGTGTAGTCTTGTAATTTTTTAATTTACCTGTCTACTTCACAAGGCTGTGTTTTTGCATATAGTGTTAATATGTCCTTCTCTCTTTTTTCTTAATACATTGTAGAAACACTGATAACTACGATTAATTCACTCTTACGGTCCTTATTAATTTAAATATTGAGGAAACTTAAATGTGGTTACTACTGACCAGTTAGGGATTAAGAGAAAAAGATGACATAAAAAACATTTTTTTTTTTTGCTTTTTTTTAAAATTGTGCTTTAAGTGAAAGTTATCAGTTGGAGCTAATTTCTCCTACAAAAATTTATACACATATTGTTATGTGCCATTAGTTGCAATCCCTATAATGTGACAGCACACTCCCCCTTTTGGCCCCAGGTTTCTAGTGTCCATTCAATCAGTTCCTGTCCCTTCCTGACTTCTCAACCTGCCTCTGGACAGGAGACCCCCATTTGGTCTCTTGTATCTGCTTGAACTAAGAAGTACACTCTTTACGAGTATTATTTTATGTTTTACAATCCAGTCTAATCTTTGCCTGAAGAGGGGGCTTCAGGAATGGTTTTAGTTCTGAGTTAACAGAGTGTCCAGGGACCATAGCTTCAGGGGTTCCTTCGACATAAAAAATTTTGTTGGAGGGGAATTTAGCCAATACATAATTTTTGTGTGCATTTTAAATTTCCTAAGTGCTTTCATTAGTGTAGTTACAGACAAAATAATTAGATAATATAATAATCTACAGATCATGGCCTCTTCCCTTACTCAAATTTTAGTGTGAATTCTATAGATAAATAATAACTCAGTTTCTAAAATATTAGTCAGAATTTCATTTTAAACGTCTTCATCTAAAAATCTCTACAATTATTTCAACACTATGATGATTTGAATAACTGTGAAAACATCTGAACAAGAAATACAGATCAGTTGCTTCCTTGGTGCTTACAAAGAATTAGAGAAAGAAGAGATATTTCATCTCAATAAAGACAGCCAGCATTTTTCCATATTTCTTTAAATTATAAAATATGTGCACATATGTATTTTAAAGAATAACAATCTGACATTCATTACTCAACTTAAGGAATAGAACACAGTTCTTCCAGTTTTCCCATTTGCAAGCTTCTAATTGCATCATTTTCATACTCAACTCCCATCACATTCCCACAAAAAATATCTACTCCAAAATTGAGATTATCATCCCTTTGCCTTACTTTATAGTTTTCAAACTTATATATACATCCCTCAAAAATATAGTTTGGTTTTACCCAATTTTGAAATGTATATGTGAGACCATATAACCACATTGAATGTATTTTTATTATTTTTGTCACTTGTGTTTATTTTCAATCAACAGTATTTTTTTCAAAATTCACCGTATTGATGTGTCTTTGAAATTTATGCCTTTTCATTACAATATAATATTTTATTGTAGAGTTGTACCATACATTAAGTATTCATCCTTCATTATATGTATATTTGGATTGTTTCCAATTTTTATGGTCATAGATAATGATGTTATGAACACTGTTATACGTATTACCTAATCTATACAAGTCAGAGTTTCTCTAGAATATATGTATATATAAGAGTGGGATTATCTTAAGGACTTCTGGGCAACATGGCACTATAGTCAGAAGTACCACACCATCCCTCAGAAGCAAAGATCAGAAAAACTAAGTCAAACAGAGTCACACGTCAATCCTGAAACCCTACGCATCAAATGAAGAGATAAAGAACTGAGCCAAGCACCGAATGGAATAAGAAACTGACCAAGAACAGAGAGTGAGGAAAGATACATGCAGAGGTCCCCTATCAGCTACCGCAGCATGGATCCGCCATCTTGGACTCCTATCAGAGATCAGCAAACAGTGAGAAAGCAGCTTCACAGAGCTTCCAGCAGGAGACAGAACAACCGGTAACCAGCAATATACGCTTTTCCACCCTCCACCTTTCTTCACCCCCACTTAGCCTCCTCTGCTTCCTGCAGCCACAGTCTCTTGGCCAAGAAGCACCCCAGTGTCTCTTGGATTCCAACTGCCCACACTGGCCGGCTCCCTGAGGGCCTTTTGTTGGATGCTGGTGTTGCTTTTTTTCCGCTTCTTTAGATTTCTTCCTTACCTCTCATCACCTCCTCCTCCTGTCTCTCAAATACCTAGCTTCATGCACCATCTTTGCTTTTTCCTGAAAGGCCATGAAACTCCGCTGGAATTTGAAACTGCTTTCGGGTCCGTGCTGTCACGATGGTAGGACCCCCGGGGCTTTTTTGTCTGTTTGTTTGTTTGCTCTGATTTATTCTGTTCTGATTTGTTCGTTTTTTTCCTTTTCCTTTTCTTGTCTTGGGAGCCCCTTCTAGCTGGGCAGTACCATGTGGCTTGGAAGCTACTCCCTTACTCTGAGCAGATGCACGGGGACATCCCTGGGGGCATTTCTTTTTTCTTCTTTCCTTTTTTTTTTGTTTATTTGTTTTGTTTTCTTCTCTCTCTTATTCCCTTTTTGTCTTTTTTCATTTCCAGTTTCTCGATTTATTCACTGTTTTTCCTTTACCCTTTTCCTCTTTTTTCATTTTTGTTTTTACTCATTTCTCAGTCTCTCATCTCTACACTCCAATAGCAAGCTCCCTTAGCACTCTTTTGTGTTTGTGTATATGCTTTTGGCTCCTGTTCCTCTCTCCTCTCTCTCATCTTTCCCATACCCATCTTAGCTCCACACATCACAATCTGCCCCCTCCTTCCTGCCTATCTGCACCATGCACTGAACATCACACTCCCAAGCAGCACAGACACGGCTTACTGGAACCTGCCCTGCACTGATTCCTGGCCCACCAGCCCTGGTACATGCCACAAACAACCCATCCCAGCAACTCCCCTTCAGCTGGACCTGCCCTGCTGTACCATACCTGAGTGACTGACACTGGAGAAGGAGGTGAAAAGTATCATGCCCACAAACAAGCGAACAACAAAGAACATGCAGCCCACCTGCTCAGACACAACCAAATAAAACAAAAAAGCAGGACAAAACAAACAAATCTATAATCAATAAACAAGGAAAATAACCATGGAGTGCCCCAAAGACAGCAGACAATATCAAAACATTTAAAAAAACAGGGCAGAATGGTTCCTGTAGGCATCCAAAATAAAACACCAGATGACCTTCCAGTAGAAGAAAAGGCACTAGACCTAACTGATAGGGAATTCAAATCTCTAATATTCAGAATTATCCAAGAGTTTAAGCAAAAAGCAGACAAAAATGAGAAAAAAATAGACAAATTCATGGAAAAGGCAGACAAATTCATAGAAAATACACACAAAAAAAATGGAAGAATTCAAGAAAATAATACAGGAACAAAATGCCAAAATAAGTTCACAAATGGAAAACATACAAAAACAACAATTAGAAATCCAAAAGATAAACAACAAGATTTCAGGAAAGGACAGTGTCATTGAAGGGCTGAGAAGCAGGTTTGAAACAATGGAAGACAGGACCAGCAAACTTGAAGACAAACACTTGGATACAACCCTGTTTGAGGAAAAAATCAGAAAAAAGAACAAAGAAAAATGAAGAAACCCTGAGAATTATGTGGGATATAATCAAAAGCAAAAATCTTCGAGTGATCAGAGTTCCAGAACGGGGAGAAAACAGAAAATACAGAAAGGATCATTGAAGAATTGCTGACAGAAAACTTCCCCAATATCATGAAAGATGAAAAGCTGACCATCCAAGCTCAAGGAACCCCATATAGGATAGACCCCAAAAGGCAATCACCAAGGCATATCATAATCACACTCGCTAAAACCAAAGACAAACAAATAATCTTGAATGCAGCTCGAGAAAAACAAAAAGTCACATACAAAGAAGAAACAATAAGACTAAGCTCAGATTATTCGGCAGAAAACATGCAGGCAAGAAGACATGGGATGACATATATAAAACCTTGAAAGGAAAAATTGTCAGCCAAGAATAATATATCCTGCAAAACTCTTGTTCACATATGATGGTGAAATTATGTAATTTCTAGATAAACAGAAATTAAGGGAATATGTAAAAACCAAACCAAACTTACAAGACTTATTAAAGGGAGTCCTTAAATCTGAGAACAAACATCAGCCCACAGGCTGAATATAGGACACAGGATTGTACTAGCCAGATACCAATCTAGGAAATGAAATCTTAAGGACTATGCAAAACCAAAAGAATTACAACAGGGAACCAGAGAGGTTAATCTGTAAATGACAACAGCATCAGAAAAATAAAAGAGGGAATAACAGTGTAGGTATAGAATCTTCTAATGGAGAGGAAGACAAGGTGATACCAAGTAATAATAGACTGGTTCAAATCTAGGAAGATAAGGGTAAATTCCAAGATAACCACAAGAAAGTTAACAAACCTACTCATCAAAATAAAGAAGAAAAACATAAAGTCTCA